TGAGTTCTCAACCAAAAGGAAGTGTTAAACTGGAATTTATTTTTTCTGAAGGATAAAAGCTGTTGCATTCTGTACCGATAGCTGTAGGTGGCTGAGTACTGGGGAGTAACCTCAGTCACTGGCTGTGGGTGCAGAGGAGTTGTGCTGCAGCTCCTTTACAAGCAGTGTGTCTTCATAGTTACTCTGCTTTGCAGGGAAGCCCATCAGAACTTCATTTTTTGAATTAATTGTGTTTATCATGGCAGCTGAGAGAGAGACATAATCAAGATATCCCCAAGCCTACTGTCATCAAGGCAAGGCCTTGGTGCATCTCAGGGTGGGCTTGAATACAGCCAGGGAGCAAGCTTGTGCTGCAAATCTCCTTACAGTATCCCACTTGGCTAGTTAAAAATGTCTGTGAGCCCTTTTGTTCATCTTTTTTGTAGTCTAAGTAAATTCCAAACTGGAAACATAGTGAAGTTTGACTTCATGGTTTTGACCACTGTTTTAACACATTTTCAATCTGTGTCAAAGATTTCTTTACTTTTAGTTTTGCTAGTACAGACTTTTCTATTTCTTGGGGGTTTTTTCTTTTCAATTAATACTTGGTCTTCCTAATGAGCCACAAAATTTTTCACCTAGACAATTAGGGTAGAAATCAGTAATATCAAGGTAAGTGGTGATGTGCATGTCTTGATGAACATTAATGGTACCAATTTCAATAATGCTTTCACTGTTAGATAAAAGCTGGCCTGAAGATAATGAATCTGCCTTCAGGAAAAGCTAAGACATAATAGACTGGAAAAAGCATTTGTCTTAATTATGGTAATTATGTTAATTTAGGCTTTAAATAATAAAAGGGTGGCACTTTATATATTTAATATTTCAGTTAACTGTGAGCATTAAGGAAAATGAGACATCTCAGAGATGCAGATTCACTCCAGCATTTCATATAAGCAATGCTATGAAGCTTCCTGGGAAAAGCAGCAGTGTGGAGAAATACAATATTTCTGGGCTGTTCCATGTCCCTGTCTCACAAACACTGAGAGTTCAGCCACGTCTCAGATCTGCAGGTAGAGCACTGCAGCCTGTTTGGGGTAGCTGAGGACCTGGCCCACAAATCCACTGGAGACTTTTACCCACTGCTTCCGTTGTCTTAGCTGCTTTCCTATCCAGTGGTGTGATCTGAGACTTATTGTACTGAATCTCCCTGGCAGGATTAGAGCAACCTCAAGGCTATTTCCTTCAAAATCAGTCTATGAACAGAGCTTTCTTTGCAGTGAAATGTCACCTTTATGAATTCAGAAAGAGAAAAGTCATAATCCCCTGTCAGTCTCTGTACCCACATGTGCCTAAGTATCCTGGAAATTACTGGTTTTCCTGCTCCATACATAGTAATTATATTTGCTGAGATACTTCTGCATGTTTCCCAAAACTTCATTCTCAAACCAATCCAAAGAAGCTTCACATCCCCATTGTTTTCCCACGCAGGACATTCTGTCCTGGTGCCATTGGTGCCCATGTTTCCAGTTAGGCTGGGTCAGCTCTCTGGCAGACAGGCAGTAACTTGCATTGCCTTTTCAGTGGCTTGTCTGCAAATGTATTTCATGTTGCTCTTCTCTGCAGACAAATCAGCTTGAGTCGAGCTCTTTTATTAGTGGAGACAGAAGGAATTACACACTGCAGGCTCTCAGCTGGCTTGGGGCTGGGTAGTTCAAGCCTCTGAGCAGTGCAGCTGCACAGCAAACAGCTCGGACCTGCCTTCAGCTCCTGCACCAAGAGTGCCTGTGGTGACTGGGACGTGCCTAGATGAGCTGCAGTTCCTGTAATGTGCTTGCCCTCGCAAAAAATTCTAGAAAGGGAGCTCTGAAGCTGCAGCAAGTGAGGCTCAGATGCAGGATCAGCTGTGGGAAGGCAGAAAGGTGGGTTTCTGCAGGATCTGAGCAGCTGCACAGCTTTGATGGTAGTGGAGAATGCCACTGCTTTAATTCTGTACCCCTACTTCAACCTTCGGCTACCACTGTTGCTCGACAGCTCTGTGAACCAACTGCTGCCTCATTCCCTGGCATGTTCTTCCCCAGGTGAGCCCTGCAGTTCCCCTCAGAGGGCTTCTCCATCCCAGCCAGCTGCTCTCTATCTATCTGTCTATCTTAGTCTCTAATCTGGGCTATAAAGCAGGCCCATTTTCCAGGCAGTGTTTACTGAAAACACAGGAGCGTGCCTGGCTCCCTCGGCCATCCCTCCTCCTGCCCTCCCACTCCTGGCAGGCTGTGGAGGTCAGGCTGCTGCAGGACTCTCCTGCTGCCTTTGGGAGAGCGTGCAGTGAAATCAGCAGCCCGTGAGCCCATTAACCCTGACAGGCTCGCAGTGGCTTCCCCTGCGGTTAAGGGAGTTCATTATGCGCAGCCAGTCAGGGTGGTTGACAGTAAAGCAAACAGTGATTGAAATCTTCATTAGAGAGAAAACTGGAGTGCTAAAGTAAAGATTTGGGATAGAAGAACACAGTGAAACATCAAGGCTTTCAGTGAGATCAGTAATTTTAAAATGAATTTTCTAAAGAAGCAGAGAAGAGATAATGAAAAGGGTCAAAAACAAATAATAGGGGATAATTATGAGGTTGGTGTCATTCCCAAATGGCACTGGAGAGCTGGTAAGAAGAAACAGGAATTTGCTGCAGTCCTTAAATTAGGAAATACTCAAGTCTTTAATGAAAAAATACATTTGAAATGGTAACTTCCTTGAATTTAGTGCTGTAGATTAAATCTGACTAAGACTCATCTATTCTGTAGTTATGCTCCTATTTCTGTGGGTATACACTAACTTTTTGGAAGCAGAAACCATCTGGAGCAGCATCTTTGTCCTTGTTTCCTGACAACTGGAACTGTGACGAGATAATTAGGGCCTTTGCTTGAATAAAGTGTTTGTAGTTTTCTTTGAAGCTTCTTCTGAACTAATATTCATTCATATCCACCTTGAAAAGATGACTTGCCTTATTCTAGGAGTAAGAGGAGCTGAATTCCTTGTCTTGCCCTTACTGCTTTCTTTTCTTTTTTTTTTTTTACCTTGGACTAAAGGCAATAGAAGGAAGTGAGCTGGGTGATTTTTTCCTTGATAACAGCTGCTTTTCTTGCCTGGTGTTGTCACTAAAGCTCCACAGGCTGTTGAAACAGTGTTGTAATGGGGCAATATTGAGCCTCTAGGATGCAGACTGAGCATTGATGTTTTAATAGAGAGACTTTTAGGAGCCTTCCTCACTCTTGTTAAAGCCAGGACACATCCCTGCATGTCAGTGGAAATGAGATAAGATTTCAAGTCACATCTTGCATCCTGCACATTTTCCGGTGTGTCTGGAAATTTCAGTTATCTCCACTCATGGCTGGAGATCAGGACATCCATTTGAATTTTTAGTCAAATAAGCCAAATGCACCTCTATCTTCTCTAGTTATATATTTATTCAGTAATTAACCCAACTTCCAAGCTCACAAACTAGTTTTTTGTCTCTTTAAATATTTGTCCTAGGGGTTAGGAGCAGTGATCTCCAGGGAAGATGCAGAGTCACAAGAGGGGTTGGTCTCTGAGCCAGCATGGCCAGGAGCTCCTCCATAGTCCCACATGGATGCCAAGGCTCTTTTGCACTACAGCCCCATCTGATGTCTGGAGTTTTAACATCCTTGGACACTAACAGGATATTCTTGCACATAGTGTGTTTGTATTTCCTATCCATTTTAGTTTCTGGGTGAACAACAAGGAGAGAACATATTTTCCGCTCAGAATTTTACTTTTATTTTAGCAATTTAGCACAAAGAAGAATTCTTGTTAAAAAAATTACCTTGAAAGAAAAAATCTGGTTATCTGTTTTGTTGTAGGTGTTAACAAAAGGCTCAGAGGAGTCCCAGCCACAGTGAAATTTGGTATGAAACTCCAGAATATGGGCCCTTTTAATAGAGAGTAACTAGAATAATTAAATATTGATGAAAAATTATATCAGAAGAACTGAGAAGCCTGTTTTTATGTAATTATCTATTAAAAAAAAAAGATATTTCAAAGTAATATTGAGGAAAAGCATAATTTTTAAATGTAATTACCTACAAAACAAGATCAGTGATCTGGAAAGAAACCAGTTTTACTTAACTAGAAAGTAGTTGCCAAGAGGTTTATTCCATGAATTAAATTTTATGGATTCTGTATTAAAAACTTCTGCAATGTAGCTGAACAATTTGTTCCTGTCTTGACAGGAGCTATGATAATAAATGCCAAGAGGTTGGATGTGTACGTTTTTCATCCTCACTAGGGGTCTTCGTTAATTAAGAACTTTTGGCAGCCATTCTTTCCTTTCTGTTTGAATTGTTTTTAGCAAAATAAAAGGGTAATATTTCACTTGAAGAACAAAGTGTCTGGAATTTATTTCACTCTTATTACTGAAATGATCTTAAGCAGAATGTTGGGAGAAAATTCATTTAACATTCCTGTCAACCTTGATGTTTGCTTCTCCTGCTGGTCTTTTCTATTTCCTTTTTCTCTGATTTACAGCAAATGAACTAATAGAGTCAGAAGTGCATCTTACTTTAGGCAGAAGAAACAACTGGACAAGCAAAGCTACAATCTGCCTGACACCTCTGAAAATCAATTAAGTCATTAAATGGTCCAGAGTTTGGTATTTTGTTACAATTGAACATTTGCATGTAATGTCTGTGGAAGCCTTCAGAATGAAAACATATATATAATAAATTCTATTATTTGTACCCAATTTAGTATTTATGAAATATGGAAAAAAATGTTTTGTAGTTTGGCTTTTTGTTGCATTCAAGTTCAGGGGTATTTATGGATTTGCTGTGCTCTTTAAAGCAGTTACCTTCTACTTCTCACTGTTTCTCATTCAGGTGGAGCAGGAATTGCAGGGTTTGCCTGGGCTGGAGGATGATGAAAATACTGCAAGCCGCTGACAGAAATTGAATGCAAATTGGGAAATAAAGTGTTATGAGGCATTGCAAACATTAAATATTTTGTTATTTTCTCTTTAGAGATCACTGCATATTGTGAAACCTTCCTGACACACAAAGGCTTTGGAAGCTGAGTGCCCTGAGGGCTGCTGGCTCAGAGCAGGGCTCGCCAAGGGGCCTTCTGTGAAATCCCTTCTTCACTCAGGGAGAGAAATATTTGTCCATCTGATGGTACACCTGAAACAAAGTTACACGATCTGTTGATATTTCTTAGTGCAGGTAAGTGAGGAAGAGTTTAAATATATTTAATTTCAACTTGTTTGAATTATGTACTAGGGTAAGGATGCTCAGAGCCTTTTCCATATGCATTTTATTGTCCAGTTTGTGTTTTCTCCTGACATATTCATTAGTTCAATTTCAAGCTTCTAGATAAGCTCCAATGAGAGAGTGGGTTTATTTTAGAGGAATGAAAAAGACAATAATTTGCTTTCTATCTTTGCTGCCCAAAATCACACTTAAAATATCCAACTGTGAAGAATGCAGGTAATAGACTCTCTGCTGTGTTAGTCAGAGGTAAAAGATAAAATATAAGCCTGCTGGCAACCAGAGCCCTATTTCAGCTGCTTCTGAAGTGTGTAACAGGCAAGTCTGCAAAGACATTTCATCATATCAGTGATAAAGATTGTGCTATATTGAACTGGTCTGCAAACATGCAAAGAGGCTAAACTTGTGTATGCACTGTGTATATGTGTGCATCTGGATTTGTGGGCAAGTGGAAGGACAGCTTTTCAAGCTCTTGTAGTAAAGTGAGAGAAGTTCATTGCTCACTAACTGCTTTCCAGCTGTTCTCTTATTTTGGCTGTTTAGCGGTTTTAGTGCATGGAAGTTCTAACTCAGCAGTACAGCCATGTCATGAGAGAGTAGCAAAGAGCATTTCCAGCTTCAAGGGCTAAGGCTTTATGAAGGTAAGGGGATAAAAAGTGGTGCAGAAACTGTGCTTGACTTCCTTTTCACTGTCACTGCCTTCTGGAAGCTGTTTTGTTCTGGCTGCTGCTTAACTTCTTCAGTGGTTATTTGAAAGTCAGCAAACAAGGACTGTTTCTGAAGCTGAAAACAATTATCAATAATACAGGGCTGGAACATTTGAACAGCAGCTCCAGTCTCCAAGATCACACATTTAATCCTCCTTGATGTTTTTAACATTAGAAACATGGTGTGGTGGAATCCACAGTTTTGTTCATATTACCTTGGATGTAAATCTCCTTCCTAAACTGTGTGGATCTACATGTTTTGACAGTGTTTCTCTTTGGTAGGACAGACTAGGGTTTCACAGGAGAGAAAAGTAACATCATAAGGAAACAGGATACAGCAGGACAATAAATGAGTGGTTTGCCAAGAAAATATACATAAAGTTTTAAAGCCTTGAAATAGCACATTCTACTTTTTCCCTGAGATCCTTGTGAAGGATCCTGTTCATGATACCATTTAGTCTGTGACTGGTGGTGAAGTCTGTGCCATCATCACTGATAATAACAAAGATGTTTGGCTAGTTTTAATTAAATATACGTGGCAGGTAATGAAGTACAGGATAGTTATGATGCTGTTTATCAGGCAGAATTAGATAAATCTGGCAGCACCCAACTAAGCTTTGTATGGGAATGCAAATCCTATCCTGTCTGCATGGGATGTTGCTGTGGTTTGTGGAAAGAGGAACCCTGGTACAGAAGGAACATCTAGGTGGTACCTTTATTATGAGCTCAGGAGGGGTTGGTTTTTTCCAGCCTCTTGCAAAGGTCCCATCTCTGTCTTGAGTCCTGGCGCCAAATTCAACTACTAGGTCTTTATTCAAAAGTATTAGTGGAACAAATAATAGGTAAATTCCCCTCCTGAAGTCAGATCTGGGGTGCTAAATATGTCTGTCAGAAGCTTCCTGGAAGAATGGAAATTTACAGTAAATGCAGCACTGAAAGCAGAAGTATTATTCTCTATTACAGTTCTGCACAGCTCAGCAGATAAAGCAGATACTTTGTGCAAGCCTGGCAGCAGAGATAGACTGTCTCAGAGGCATTTTATTAATTTTTCAAGAGTATAAATCAAGACAATTTTATGTTGAATAAAGAATTAAATACTTTTTGCTCTCATTTCCGGACTCTCAGTAATCATTAAGGAGACAGTAAAAGGACTGCAAGGGAATTAGCTTTTTGACCCAGTATTCACCAACAGTAGATTCTGCTAACAGTGGGAATAGTCTTAATGAGCAGTTTGCAAGTGAAAGATTTATATACTTTCATTATAAGCAGATTTTGTGAGGTTTTTAACTTTGTGGCCTGAATGAAAGCTTTGAGGTAATTACAAAGAAAATAGTAAGAGTGACTATGGTGCATGAGGAAAAAGGAGATGTGATGAACTTCCAGGTGCTGGTGGTGAGATTCTGATGAATGGCACATGGTATTGCACTTCCATGCATTTCACAGGATCGCTTCCCCTCCTGTGAGGTCAGTGGAGAGGAGATGAGCCGTTCAGAGATGAGACAGGATGCAGATGGAAATGTAGGTTGTCATACATATTCAGCACATTCTAACTCCTCTTCATAGTTCCTCAGTTCCAAACTACTGAATCTTCAGAGCACACATTTGCTGTAGAATAGTTGGATTTGTTACCTTGCTGTGGGTGCCAGCAGGAAATAATCTGTTTAGCTTGATCCCTGATCTGTCTTTGTGTGGGAAAAGTAGAAAAGGGAAGGTAAAAAAGGATAATACTCTGGTGCTGTTCTGCGGTGTGCCTCTGGCAGGGGACTAATCCCAAAGGTCAAAATCTGAGAACATCAAGCAACTTTAAGCTAGCAAAAAAAATGCTTGGCAGTCCTTCTCCATCAGGAGCCAGGTGCCTTAAGATTTAACACATGGATGTGCCTCCTCTGCATAATTTTGTCCCATGGCCCATCCACCACTGAGTGAAAATGTCCCACTCTGGGAAAAAATTCTCTGTTCTGCTTCAGCAAGGGCTTCTCCTTGTCCTGGTTAGTGGGAGGAATAAGAGGGTTTACCTCCTTGAGCAGGTGCACATGAGGCCGTCTCATGTCCCATATCCTCAGTGTTTCCTCAATCTTGATCATCTTTCCTATGGGACTGTGAGAATTACGGTAAGGCCAGACATGTGCCACTTAAAAATGGACAAACTGATCCTCAATAAGGGATTTTTTTTTAATCTACTGCAATAATACTGGTCTGCAAAGGTAAAATATATTCTGTTGAAGAATCTTCAATTCACTTCACTGAAATTCCAAGCTGTGTCTGTTTTGCAAGACCTGCCTTTCTTTCTTGGGATACTCTGTTAACATTGCCAACATGGGCTCAACTAGGTAATAGGAAATTAATTTCATTTAATAAACAAAGCTATGAAATCTAAAGATAAGCTTTATAAAGGCCATATTGCCACTGAGTCCTGGGAAGATGGCTGGCTGCATCTGCTTGACCTGATGGGAAATTGGAAATGTAGGACAATCTCCTGTGGCTTAGCACAGCGCATTGGGCTTCCTGAATTTGAAGGATACTGCAAGAGAAAATGCAGGACATGACAGGAAGCGAATCAATGACTTGACTAAATCACTTCAACCAACATTCCTCTTTCATGTTAGAGCAAAACAATGTTGCAGCCTGACTTATAGCAAATTGCTGCTTAATAAGGCCAGAAGTAAGTCATCTCTTTTCAGCTAATTCCTGTTCAGCTTCCTCAGCTATAAAACCCTTATTAAAGAAGCTTTAGCAGCTGTACTGTTCTCTGAAGCATGAAAAATCTTGATTAAAGCCACTATACTGGAGTCAATGAAGCTTAAAGCTTGATATACTGGGACACAGGGAGGGTCCAAGCCAGCTTTATGCTCCCCAGTGTCCTGCTGGCCAATCCACAGAGGACTGCTTGTTTTTGAGTCTGGAAAGCAGCTTGCCAGACCTCCTGCCTGTCAGATTAGCATCGCGTTATCTGTGCCTAGCTGCAAGGTTAAGAGCAGCAAGCAGAAAGCCGTGGTCACCAAATAAAAGATATTTAAGCAACTTGGAGTCTGAGCTTCTGGAAATTCCTGCTCTTGACTAAAAGGAGTGTTTGGGGGAACAGATCATGGCTTTTACACTTCAGGTGTTGGGTTTGAGGAGTACAATTGAGCTGATAGTCCGGTTTTCTTAATAGTTCTAAGGAAAGCTGTGCCTCACAGTGTTATTTAAATCACCACCTGACTGTAACTTCATTAACAGCATTAATGCAAGGTGATTAGTGATTGATACAAATCAATTATGTTGATAAGTTCTGCTCTGAATAATGTCATGTGACTGCAAGGAATGAAACCTAGCACAGAATTGGAATGCTGACTACTGATGCAATGGTACTGCAGTCACAGGATTAACATTGAATCAATGAGTTTTGATTCCTGCATTCTTTATTAACATTTTTTCCATTTATTCTGGGTATGATATAAATGAGTTTGAATTAGGTCTGAAAAGCAGTGAAACAGCTTTATGTAGAATTTGATTTTTGGTTTTGTTCAGTTCTGTTTGTCAGTCCTTGCAACAAATGAAATATATTTAATTAGTTTTACATTCGTTTTCATTTTGTATTTACCCCAGAGATTATTATAAAATATATTCCCAAAGGTAATGAACTGCTGAAATATTCTGATGAAAATTATATAAAAGATATTTTTATTTCTTAATTGGTAAATGAAAAATTTTCTCATGAAGATTAAAAAACTCCAGAAACATCGAGATTATATTGCAAGAGATTTCATCTGTAAACTCAGCCTGGAACCTCCAACTCATCAGTTGCTATTGCAAAATATCTTAGCAAGAAAAGAAGGGATAGTAGCTGGACCAAGGCCACCTGAGCAAAACACTGATTGGGAGATTGCAGTTATAGAATCAAGAATCATGTAAAAACATTTTTTATGATTAATGAAGATTGGTTAACGAGTAACTGGCAAAGAACAGATCGCACCTCTCTGTGGTTATTTAGGTGTCATTGGCTTGAGTGATATCACAAAGCTATTGTGTTTTATTAGGATAACCTTGTCTGATACAATGAAAATCACTGTTTTTACAAGTTTGTTTCTTTTTTAGTTAAATCAGAAAGGCTGAGTCATTGCTCTTAACCCATCTATACACAAGCAGCCTCTGAATCCATGCCAGCATCCATGTTTGGGGAAAGGTTCAGGAAAAGTGAGACTGTATGGTGAAAATGTGGGTGCAAATGGCAGAAATTCAGGCCTTTGGTATCATTCTGTGCATAAAAATTAATTTTGATCTATGTTCTAATTGCAAATTGAGAGGTGTTTCAATTTGTTTTCTAGGGATTATGGTATAGAAGCTTTCAAATGTCACTCAGAAGCTGGGTGTTACTGCTGTGGCAACATCAAAGAGTGATATTACAGAAGTAAAGACTGAGGATAAATTATATTGGCTAGAATGGATTTATTTGTTCCCTGTGTGTAAAATGTACCTTCTGTGCTCACAGGCTCACAAACATGTGTCATGGTAGGTCATTAAATACATCACAAATCATCTCATTTTCCTTTTTCCATTCCATCTTCTTTCTTTGTAGTCTACTGTTCCCTTTCTGTCAACAGTTTTTATCTATTTAGGTGAGAAAAACAAGTTATTGCTTAAAAAATGTTATTCTTAATCCTTTTTCACTAGTACAGTTGTTGAGCTTTTTAGATAATAATTTAGGCAAATAATAACAGATTTTTTGGTGATCTGATTTTAGGGAATTTCTTTCATACAGTAAACCAGGAACAGCTTGGTTTCTGTGGGAAAAGAGGCAAAATTCATTTAAAAATTGTTAAGGAAATGGTTTCTAGCTATTCTAGCTATTTTCTTGTGCTAGAGACCACAGAAACTAAAAAGAGAGAGAATCAGTATTCTGTCAATATTCATCTGGGATACTTCCTTTGCAGTCACACAAATCATAAAACATTAATGTCAAAAGGAGAAATAAAATGAAATAATTCTTATTCTAAGGGCTTCAACTGTCACTATCTTTTATATTATAAATACAGTTCACAATAAACTTTTCACCTTTAGGGTGAACCTGCAGGACAGAGGAAAACTAAAAGATAACTTGAAGAATAATGAACTTGGAGATTGCACAAAAATTCAGGGAAATACCAAGCTGGATTAGTCTAGTTCTTACTAGGAAATACCAGTTTCAGGCTGAAAAATGCAATGTCTGCTGGAGAGAGATATAGACCAAGCACATAATTATCAAGCACTGCATTTTCCATCTGTCAGGAACTCTATTGCCAAGGTGTCTAAACTGAGGAACTGAAATTTGTGCCTACTGCAGGTACTGTAGGAACTGTCATGTTCCTGCTTGCACTTCTCTGTCCTGTGCTGTTCTGGGTCAGCCCACTGCCCTTTTTCAGCCCAGGATACTCTCTGCTACTGTACTCGAGTGGGCAAAGACCCAAATTGTCAATAAATGTGCATAAAACTGCTCCCAAATAGGCCAGAGTAAAACTCATTTACCTGTTATAGTTAAAATTTGCATTGAATTCATTCCAGAGACTAATAAAGACATGCAATCAAATGATTTCTCCTAGGACTGATTTAAGGAAGTGAGGTTTTGAGAGGCAAAAAAAGAAGTTATACATAAATCAAGACACTAGAATATTCTGTATTATAGAGATTTTGGTGGTATTTTGTTGTTCATAGTTGAGTATGTGCAAACCCCCCACCAAGGACTGCCTTTCCCCTCTTTTGTTGTGCTCAACTGGTAGCAATAATTGTCCATAATTCTGCAGTACAATTGATTTGGTCACCACACAGGTACATCCTTCTGTGTAAGCTGAAGTGTAAATAATAGAAATAAATGATGATTACAGTCATCATCGATGTCTCTACTGTATTTAATCGACCTCAAGGATTTTTTCCATCACAGGAGATAAAGTAACTGTATGTGAATAGTGGGTTATTTGATCAGTGAAATGTTTTTTAAATAGCTTGTACTTGATTACTCCCTCAGCCTTGGATTGATGCCTCCACAGGTTCATGAAGTGCATTCCTCTGATTTATTCTCTATCCTTGGAAACGTGCTCAAAGCCTTGAATGTGGGGAATGACAATACAAATGTCATTATTAAATGTGATTATCATTTGCAGTAATGCAGCTTTGCTATAGAGGACACGTGATTTATTAATGCTGGATTAAGACCCATTACCTCACTGAATAAGTGACATCCTCCCTTTGGCAGAGGTCCCCACAGTAGAGTGCCATGTGCTGCATGGCACAAATTAGTAGTGCAATGAAATTAAATTTTTGGAGCTTTCAGGTGCAGTATTGAGCTGTAAGCAGTTTCTCTCAGGGCAGTGTGTGCAGGGTACCCTGTTCTCAAGGGTGAAAGTTGCCTCAAGAGAACCACTAGGAACACAACCCATACACTAGGAGTGAGGAGAAGATGATGCCTGTTTGAGGGCTAATTCTATCTCTGGTAGGCTCTGCTATTAGACCCTTCTCATGTAACCCTGCAACAAGATAAAAAGTGACTGTGCTAAAGCCTATGAAGGACATTTGTGGCACAAGGAATTCCCTGGTGCCTTACAGGCACTCAGCACACACTGTGAGTGCTGGAGGGTAGCTGTAAATGACAGAAATCAGTCGTGTTGAGCTGATGTTGCTCTTACCCTATTCTGGGAAAATGAGCAGCAGCACCAGGATTGCATTCCTGTTTCTCAAAAGCATCCAAGCACCAGTCACACAGCGTTTGTGCTTCTTGCCACAAGTGGAATTCTGAATCAGGAGCCACAGGGATGTTTTCAGATCTTAATTGAATCCACACCAGGCATCCAGCCTTAGAACAGAAATCCACCCTTGCAAAGAAACCAAATGCTTTAGGGGATCCTACATTGTGTACATGGTTAACAGGGAAGCAGGAGGCCTTATTTATGTGGAGTACAGGAATTGCCAAAGCTGAAGAAATACTGTTTTCTTTCAATGATTAATATACTCTGTAGAAGTGTAGCATTTCCTGCCAGCTTTCATTAACAAATCAATGGAAAACAAACCCGCGTGGTAGGGAGTGTGTCTGGGAACAGTTTAAACAGGACTGAGCCGCTTTAGATTTCAGCTGTTTTCTTTAGCACAACCGTGTAGAGCACTTTCTTGTTTATAGAATAAACACAGGGGATTGAAGTGATCTGTGTAGCACACAGGAGAGGTTGCCAACCCATAACATTTTGCAGAATGCAAAAATTCCATAGCTGCTCCCTTGGGAGTCATAGGGTACAATCTTCTTGCATGTTTGTTTCAGTGTAAATACGAGTTAAATCATCAGAACAGACAAACTGCCAGGAAAACTTTGAATAAAGTATTAGTTCATTTTCCTTTCTTCATAACACAGGTTCAGCAGACTCACAGCTCAGACAGCTATTGGTTCAGAAGTTTCACACCAAATTAATACAAGTAATGCATAAAAGTAAGGCTGTAAATGTGTGCTTTTTTAGCTTACTCACAACAAAGAAGACTGAAATACAGTAGGTAACTTTATTTTTAACCTTACTGTCACTTGAGAATGATCACACAAAGAGATCTCAGACTGGATGTGGGTTTGATCTGTGACAAAAACTTCACTGACTCAGCCTCAGGATGTGCAGTGATTGGAGTATTGCTTTCAGCATTTCCAGTTGCTCTAGGCCTTTATTATTTTTCATGTAGAAATTATACTATTTTAAACAAATGAGCAGAGACTATTCCAGGCAATTATGTGGCTGTCCTTCAGACACACTGAAGCCTAGCAATCTTCAGAGCCATCTGTTTGAATTTTCAAAATTCAAAATTGTTCATTCATGGTGAAAATAATTCACTGAGTGGCAAAAATATTTCAGGAGGAAAGCCAGTAGATACAAACCCATCAAAACATTCAGGGGTAAAACCAATAAGTACAAAACCTGAGGGAGGTAAGGCACCCATCCCTGGAGGTTACAGATTTAGGACAAAGATGGCTTTGGGAATCTAAGATAATTGTTCTAAAGCCAAGTACTCTAAGCTGAATGACAGTACAGAGAAATAAGCTGTACCTTCAACTGTACCTGTGAGCTGTGCTGAAATCAGGGAAATCTTCCCTCTAAATGTTAGATAGGAGACCAGTCCACGTGCCCTGCTGTTCCTGTAAAATCAGCCTCTCCCAATTGTCTTCTCTGCAAAGTACAAAATCCCTCCAGACAGAGGAGAACAAGATAGATTTCAACAGCTTAGAACAGGGTAAACTTGAAGTTCACAAGGGCTAAACTAACATGCCTCAAAAAAATGTTTCTATATATTAAATAGATGGAATTAGATTTACAGTTTTCCTGCACAGGATTTTGGTGTTTAATACAGACTTGGTGCTCATGTAGCTGAGATGGTCACACACTGAAGAGAACTTCATGTTTCTGAGAACAGAACCTGGTCTTCAGTCACAATATACTGTAACTATCTTCACCATGCAAATGTGGTTATTTGCTAATGAACACACATCCCTCTGTATGTAATTGCATCTCACTTTTCAGTCCTGTGTTCTCTCTATAGTGATTATGTTCTCTCTGTCTCGTGGGAGTCATCAGACTCCTCGGGTATATCCAGCGTGTGCTGTGCAGATTGATGCACTCAGCAGGTGTGGCAAAGGACAGGACAGTTCAAGTAAAAGGAAATTGAAATGTATTTTCAAAGAGAATGTACAAATAGCTTAGTGTTTGATTTCCAGGGTGGTGATTAATTGCAAACTGTGAGATAAGAACATACAGGACAAATAACAGTGATAGCCGTTTGTTGTATCATGAAGTAGATTCACCTCTGGTTTGAGCTGGCTTTTGGTGGTATGAACTTGAAAGCAAGGACTCTGGCAGTATAAAGATAAGCAAAAGCCTGATTTCCCTCTCTGTGGTGAATTCTGGGGGCTGGAAAGCTGCACTCAGAGGACACTGAGCTCATGAGCTGAGATTTTCTGGCACCTTGTGAGGACTCCTATCGGATATGATGGTGAAAATTAAAATACGGCTTGCCCATGTGATCACAGAGCTCATGCTCAAGTTGATCCTACTCATTTATTTGTAGTTGCTTGTGCTGGAAAGCTCATCTTGGCCTCCACATACATCCTGAGTTCAGAGAATATGGAGTGACTGTATTTAAACCCTGAACTCAAATACCAGCAGTGTAATCTGCAGAGTCTGGAGGTGCAGTGTGTCATCAGAATGTGCCCAACTTACACTTGAGCTAGGTGAAAGAGCAAAAGGAATTTGGAGCTTTTAGCTCTTTCCCTTGTATTTATAAAATCATTGTATGCTTTGGTACAACTTGCAGTTCCAACTAAAAGCTGTAAAAGTTCCTGTGTTCCAGATCATAAATTGGGGTGAGATGGCAGTGCTGTGTGATGAGGCTTGCACAATACCCATGCAGCTTATATCTGACTTAAGGCTTTGTTATTAATTCCTCACTTTCATGGACACAAAATTAGCTTCCTGTTCTTTTCACTTCTCTGAAGAACACATCCTGTTGCATGA